ATACCATATATAAAACAGAGTTTTCATCCTTTCTAGAAACTCACTTCCTGAACTTTTGAGCGCAAATGTAATGTATTAAAAATGTATATCATATTCACAGCAGTTAATACCATTAATATATCGCGGGCGCAATACAAGACAAAACACGAGAATTTTAAAATGTTTTGATTTGCAAATAAATAAATAATATTTGATGTCATAAAAATTTTAAAATTTAACTCAACACAAACTGGTAAGTTCATGACATGTATAATTTACTTATATGTTGTTATATTGCAATTCTGTACCCTACTCCTTTGAAAATTGTTTGCAATTGCATATGATGTGAACATGTGGTCATGTATTATAGTTGTGTCATGGATTTAATAATACCCCAATGGCTTCGAAATAGACAATGGATGGAAAAAGTCATGAATATTGAACTTATTTACCCTTTAAACACTTGATCGTCATGCCCATACAGTGTATTGTTTGTTTCCAGAACCCCCTCAAGCAGACTTCAACTTTTTTTGTTAAATTGTATATTTTGCTTCATACACTGCATGTGTGTGTGTGTTTGTGGGAACACTCATGTTTGGATGCTTGGCGTAGGTTAATGGTAATTTCATTGGAGTCATCAGGGATATAGTTGTAAATTCCTGAAATTACCCTCTAAACACCTAAAACAGCATTCCCTAAAATTTTAATTGTTTTCTTACATTGCCCTATATCGCTCAAACTCGCATTGCTTAAATTGCAGATTTTGCTTAAATCACCTAAATTTGCTTAATTAAACTTGCATTATCTCGTTATCGCCCCAGAGTAGGGCCTACTGTTGCCATTGCTTTTTAGTCCCCAATACTTCAGTGAGTCATGCTTTGGAAATGTCAATAATTTTTTATTACCCAACCCTTGAGTTGTTTTGTTTTTCATTTACCCAACCTTTTACTTACTCAAAATTTAGTTTACCCAACCCTTTTCTCTTCGGTGCCACCCCCCACCATAAATAATGACCGGTCCCTTAATAACCTTGTTTTACTAGTAAGACTTACATTTGAATTTGGATCGAGATTGTTGGTACAATTCTGCACACAATATCTGCTATGTCCTCCCGTCGCCCACTGTATCTAATGTATTATGATTTATGACTTAATTTTTTGACCGAAAAGCACTTACACTACAACGATGGAAAGATTTCGGATGCAAGCATTACAGTCCATCTACAGTAAGTGGAGCCATTTACAGAACACTAACCAATCAGATTGCAGAACAAAAATAGAAATCGAATCAAACTACAGCTCGTCTAATCAAAAGAAAGCACGGTCGGAGTTCGCTTCAGGAAGCCATTAACTGCAGTGTTTACTTTTCAAGTCTATTTTTACTGTTTGACATTGGTTTATTTGTTATAATTGTTTTTGGCCTAATGCTGATTGGCTAATGGGCCGTTTGTTGATTGTTTCTAGTTTTGTTTTGCAATGTGATTGGTTAGTGTTCTCTAAGTGGCCCGACTTACTGTAGACGCACTGTAACAATGATTGAAATTACCGCTGACACGTCAAATTGCCTCGGATTCAAATGTTTCCCGATACAATTAAAGTTTGGATTCATATTTTAACGTGGCTCAAAATTGAAATGATTTCCTGTGCCGGATTCATCACTGCGTTTAGGTAACATGAATCCGATGCATAACCTTTCGGATTCCTGATAGATGTGGAATCTTTCGCTATTGTGTAAACAAAGTCTTACGTTTAAAATATACCTAATCAATATATATTAAATGTTTTGGATCATTCTGACGACTTGTGCTCTTATCTATTTATTCATATAGCATCTTGGTGGACGTGGTTCACGTCATTAATCGCTCCCAGTGAACAAACAAAACATTTTCTTCTGACACATTTCAACTGGTTTTGGTGGATAATTAACAATGTTCCTTTCATTAGAAATCGTGTTATGAAAGCCGCATACTTTTGTAAGTAGTATTTTGATTGTTGCTAGTTTGTCTCAGGCATTTAAGAAAAAAATGTGTATTTTGTTCAACCACCGTACTTGCAGACAGTTTTATGATATCAGAAAGTTTTATGATATCAGAAAGTCGACTGCTGAAATCAGCATTTTACTCCGTTTGTGTTCGATAAATTGTCTTAGTTACCAATTGGCTTGTGAAACGTCTTGATGAGAACATTCGTATTCTTCAATAATTTGAAATTAATGAATGATATTTCGTGAGAAAATTGAACTTAAAGTTTATGTAAATCAGCATGATTTCGTATCAGATATACAAACGCCTTCACGGTCATGACTTATTTTGTGTTTTCTTCATGAATTATTCACGATTTCACAATCATAAATACAGTCATAACACGTTATTTGATTAAGCCTGTTTCGACAAAGTACAAAACTGTAGCCGTTTAGAAATCTCATGCAACACTCTTACTTATTCTTCACAAACTTACTTCTTCGCAAACTTACCTATTCTTCATTAAACCAGTATAAAGTGCACGAAAGTTGATAGAGTTGGTGGTGACAACTTTCATCAACTCTCGTCCTCGGTTGACCATGGGTTTACACATGTGTTCACTTAATGTTCCCTCTAGCTCGTACTGACTTTATACCTGTTCCACATGCATACACAAGTTATCACGAATATCCAACGATGGAGGCACATTACAACAGATCTTACTTTGCGAGGACACTACCTCCTGTGCCCAAGAATTGTCCAACACCATTTGGAGTTGCAGGTATGTTAGTATTTCATAATCTGTTTGTTTTGCTAGTACCAGGTGTTAAATGTCAGAAAAATTCCTGTGTATCATTCGGGACTTAGATCCAAAACCTCTAGATCAATTACCCCACGGTCCACCAGTATTTCAAATCCAATAAGGACTGCATTAGATTTCAATTTCCGCACAATTTGATCAAGTCCGAGGCAAATCCGCGGACTGGATCAAAATGCGAGGACTTGAAATCTAGTCCAGTCCAATTGGAGAATTTGGAATGACATCTCTCACTACTCAAAGTGAGGTGAATTAATTTTGATCCAGTCCAAGGACTGAATTAATTTCGATCCAGTCCTAGGACTGGATCAATATACTTCCCCATGTATCCAGTATTATCATGTGAGTAAAATAAAGCAATATATATGGTTGGCTAATTTACTCATGAGTTATTAATGAGTTTGAGATTATTTATTAACACACTGAAGCTTATCTTTCGTTTTTTCATCATAGGGAAGAAAGAACTCCCTTCTGCTGAAGAGTTGGCAAATAAATTTTTAAAGAGAGGAAAGTTTAAAACAGATCACACGAATACCTCCTGGCTTTTCATGTTCTTTGCTCAGCATTTCACTCACGAATTCTTTAAGACAATCTACCACAGACCAGCCTTTTCTTGGGGAAATCATGGTGTGGACGTTTCTCATATTTACGGTCAGGACGTTGAACGGCAAAATAAATTGCGAAGCTTTGAAGATGGAAAATTGAAATCACAGGTCAAACTGATCAATTCTATTTAGGTTCCAAAAACATTTACCCACGCCGCGACGAATCCGACTGAAAATCATCTCGATTTTGAACCGTATCTGGAAACTTTGAATCGAAAAAAAAGTCGAAACTTTATATTCGGAATTAAACATTCGAATCCGAGAGAATTCGGTACTATCTCAACCAATCTTGACCTGACTAAGTACTTTCTTTGCTTGTTTAAATTAAACACACTTTAGCGTTTTGAGCGTTTTTTTTTAATTCATTACTATAGAATATTCAGTTATTCACTTCATGCTAATCGAGGATTGAATTTTTTTCAGGGATTTGTTTGCTATGCACCCAGATAAAACGCCCTGGTGTGAAAACCTGTCTTTATACTGTTGTACTGTAAACAGTTTACATGTCCGAATAGTCGAATCTGAAATCTTCAGCGAAGCCGAAATCTTTCGTTGTAGTGTCGACGATGTCCTACACGTGCAGCGTAACTGTATAGAGCGTTTGCACATGACGGCACAGCCGCCATGTTGGTGTTCCAATTCAAAACATATTAATTAGACCCTTTTGTCTGGAACACCAATATGACCGCCACGGCTTTTGTTGAGTTGTTCCCTGGGGATTGAGTGCAAACGCTCTATGGTATGACATTTGTGATATAATCCTGAATAGTCTGTGCCAGTGTAGCTAGTGCCAATAATTAGAGAGATTGATAATAATACAAGTAGTTGATCAGATTGATAATAATACAAGTGGTTGCATCCGTAAATTCAGGTAGTTGTATCCCTATCAATCCAAAGTTGTCTGACATTTTTTGTTACTTTCACTCTTTTCAGATAATAAATGGTGAAGAGTGGCCGCCTTATTTAAAGGATGTCGACAATGTTACGATGCAGTATCCACCCAATACACCGGAGGATCGAAAATTCGCCGTTGGTCACCCTTTCTACTGCATGCTGCCCGGACTATTCATGTACGCTACAATTTGGCTGAGGGAGCATAATCGTGTTTGCACTATCCTGAGAAAGGAACATCCACACTGGGACGACGAAAGACTGTACCACACAGGCAAACTCGTTATCACTGGTGAGATTCATCGTAAAATTTGAATAAACCGGTCAGGTCCGTTCAGTGTATATACGAAGTCTTTGATCCACTTCTTTTGACAGATTTTCACCACTATATTTGTATGATGGACGAGGCTAGGAGTGAAAGATTAATTTACGATTAATCTATTCCATTTTTTATCATATCACTACGTCACTACGATGTAAAGTGCATCATCGACTGTGTTTACGTGTGAACGCCCTCGCAGAGAATTACCATGCCCGGAACGGATTTGACCGCCTCTATAAGATTAATGCGATCTAGCTATGAATCGATTAGTTTCCAAACCATAATCTTTAATGGAGAATTTTTTACTATTGCTAATGATACTATAATTGTTCTTATATTAGGTGAAGTGATCAAAATTGTGATTGAAGATTACGTCAACCACTTGGCTAACTATAACTTAAAGCTCAAGTACAACCTAGAATTAGTGTTTGACCATGGTTATGATTATGACAATCGCATTCACTTGGAGTTCAATCATATGTACCATTGGCACCCTTTTAGTCCCGACGAGTTCGATATCAGTGGCACAAAGTACTCCATAAGTGAATTTATGTACCATCCAGAAATTGTCATCAAACATGGGATGAGCTCCTTTGTAGACTCGATGTCCAAGGGCTTATGTGGAAAGGTAATCATGTAACTATTTAAGAAATAGAAAGCGAATCGCGTGTGTTTATGGTGTGTTAGTTCTTGATTGAGTCGATTTTCTTCCATGTACCTAGGTGATTATTTTTAATAAGTAATAGAACTTTTTTAAATAGAACTCTGTAAATCCCCTTCTAAAGTGCAGTAAATGGCATTTCATTTCTAAGTGTGCCCAATACAATACAAACAATATAATACGAGACAGTATATTATATATATAGTATAGTGCAATATATACAGTACAATGCAATAATATTTTAAGCAACAGATGGCTGGGACACCACAACAGTGTCAACAGTTAAAACCAATTACTACATGTGAGCCCTATGTGCTAGATAAAACATAAGCAGCCGATCTGTATTTGATATACAATTAAAATTGAATTAAAAATTACCCATCTTATGAGTTCATTCGCAAAGTAATTTTAAAAATAAACATTGTCTAAGACAAGAAAATCAAAGCTGAAATTTATGTAAATCAGGACAAATCTTTATCCGATTTACAAACATTGATTAAACATTCATTTCTTTTGTATTTTCCTCGTGAATTATTAATGAATTTTTAAAATATGTATATTAACTAGAAACAGCAATTTATAACTGACTGTTCAAACTACAACAAGGGTTACAGGATTTCCACGTTTTTGGATCCTCTGCATCATAACAACTATATGCAGGGCTTCCAAATAATAGTTCCGCAGCAATCTTTTAAATGTACTTAAAACATATTTGGCTGTCTTAAGTTTGTTGGAAGACAGTTCCAAACTCTTGTGGCTTGGGTAAAATATGATTTTTGGAAGGTGGTAGTCATTTTTGTGGACGGAACAACAACTAGGTGGTATTGGATGATGGGGTTACTCGGGTGGGAATAATAGGTTGAGGTAGAACATCTTTATATACGTCGATCAGACCATTTACAGCTTTAAAAAAGAACACAAGATTCATATATACTCGTACCAGCTTATGATAGTGGTATCAGTTCCAAACTTATCAGCCTGTCGCGGTAGGACTCGTCTTTGTTGGCTTTCGCACAACGTTCTAAAACATGCTTGGTCCATGTGAGATCACTGGCGACCCAAGGCGGAATTT